TTAGAGACGAAAATCAGAACAACAAGAAATCAACAACACCGCTGTTCTTTCAATTGCGCTTTCCGAAGAAAAAGTTATATACTCCAAAGACGTGTATCGTTTCCAAAACCTGGTCTTTAAAACTTGATTTGCTGGTAAAAACTTGACAACAAATTCGAAATTGAACGATTAACACACCTATCTATGGGACTCTCAAGCGGAGCCAGTTGAGGTCTTTTCCACTCCACATGAGCCCTCAAGGGCGCTTCGTCACCAAGTAGGGCAACTGACTGGATTTCGGGTTGACGTGGAGCTAAACACTTCTTAGGTTAAAAGAAGACTAAGAGTGTAAGATAGAAAGTAAAAGTGAAAGAAGGTTCAGATATGTTCATAAATGTCGCAACATGATTACGAGCACATTCAAAATAAAGTTTTCCTTCATTTGAAGCATAGTTCCGATGACGACAATTAAACTTATACATAAATTAGTTACATATTTTTTAAAATTACTTCTAGTGTGTGGCTGCAACATACGCATGATAGACTTGTGTGAGTCTACGATTTCAAGATAAGAATGCATTTAGGTAAAATAATTTTAAGAAACTTACGAATTCCACCAGTGACGATTCGCTTCGTTTCCGTGTATTCTCCATCACCATTACGGTTAAATGCATTCATTCGGAACGCATATTCCGTATTCGGTTCTAGTTTATCAATCTCCCAATACCGTTTCTGCAAACGTGACTGCTTTTACAAAATAAAATTGATGCGCTGCAAACGAACCGAAAGATCATTGATAACGTCATATTTGGAGCGGCGTCGGTTCACAGGCTCTCCGTTCAATAATTTCTCTACATATACATAGTAACCACCAAAGTTACTGTGACCATTCACATGCAAAGGGCGGTCCCAGGTTAGTTTCACCTTGAAAAATAACGTAAATAAAAAGATCAAAGACAGAAGATAGATCACGAAAACAAGTTCAGCGCAAATAAAATACCTGGTTCGGCGCAGTGAGAGTAACTTCGAAATTCAACGGGGCGGATGGAACTGAAAAAATTTAGGTCAATAAAGCTTGTAATTAGTTATATTCGCTGCCTCTTCAATGTATGTTGTCCAACCTTCTTTTGCCGCTTCCGATTTATATCTTTGCTAGATTAAAAAAAATCAAAGATTTT